TTGTACTCAAGGTTAATGTCCTTAGGAGGATCCCTGAGAAGTGGATCACTCTCATACCCCTCTTTGAGAAGACTCAAGAATGTCTTTGCACTTGTGGCCCCTAGGAAGTTCTTTTGAGTTAGGATTGAAAATTCGGAGTTGCCCTCTTCGGGAGGCTCAAACAGCATCCTTGATAAGGCATCGGCCTTACCATACCTCAATCCAGGTCGATATGATATGATAAAATTGAATCTGGAAAAGAATAATGACCAATGTGCTTGTCTGGAAGACAATCTCTTGGCTGAGCGAATGAATTCCAGATTTTTATGGTCAGTGAGAAAAGTTACAGGATGATTAACCCCTTCTAGCAGATGCCTCCATTCAGAAAAGGCTTCCTTAATTGCCAGTAGCTCTTTATTCCCAATGTCGTAATTCCTTTCGGCTGAGGACATCAAATGAGAGAAGTAGGCACAAGGATGAAGCTGCATTTTGTTCATCACTTCGCTGAGACAGGATCGCTCCCACGGCAGAATTGGAAGCATCCACTTCCACTATAAAGGGTAGTTCAGGATCGGGATGTACCAAAATTGGTGCAGAAGTGAAAAGAGTTTTCAGCTTTCCAAACGCAGCCTGTGCCTCAGGGGTCCACACGAAGGGTACCCCTTTCTTTGTCAGCTGTGTGATTGGAGCTATCACTCTAGAAAAGTTTGTTATAAATTTCCTGTAGAAGTTGGCAAACCTGACGAAACGTTGAATTTCCTTAACATTTCCAGGTGCTGACCAATCTACCACTGCTTTGACCTTCTCGGGATCCATGCTCACGCCCTCTGGAGAAATGATGTAGCCTAAGAACTGGATCCGAGTTTGGTCAAACTCACATTTCTCCAATTTTATGTAAAGTCTATTTTTCCTTAATCTTTCAAAAACTGTGGAAATGTGTGCGGTGCTCCTCCCACTTATCGGAAAAGATACGGATACCATCCAGATAGGCAATTACAAATTGGTCCAACAGATCGCAAAAAACATTGTTGATGAAATGCTGAAACATTGCAGGGGCGTTGCAAAGTCCAAACGGCATCACCAAGGACTCGAAATGCCCATACCTGGTTCTGAAGGCGGTCTTCCATTCGTCTCCTTGACGAATGCGGACAAGGTTATATGCCCCTCGTAAATCAAGTTTTGTAAAGATCTTGGCAGAGCGAAGTCTTTCCAACATTTCAGAGATCCAGGGTAATGGATAGCGGTTCTTAATAGTGATTTTATTCATGTCTCCAAGCGAACAGTACAACAAGGCACTGACTGCAGGTCTGGCCATTCCTTAAATACACCTCCTGCAATCAGCCTCAGGTGATGGCTGACTGCAGGAGTGAGCTTCTGGTTGCTGAGAACACCCGCTGGCCAGCCCTGGTACTGCAGCCCACAAGGCAGGTGAGTCCCACCACCATTGACGAGTCCATTCCTGACAGACTGGATAGCCACTGTATCACTTTGCGATTCCTTGGTCGGTGATGAACTTGGTCGGCATCTTCCTTTTCCACCTTCCTTCTCCACCATGTATCTTCCATCTTCCTTCTCCACCTTTCATCTTCCTTCTCCACCATGTATCTCCATCTTCCTTCTCCACCTTCCATTTTCCTTCTCCACCATGTATCTTCCATCTTCCTTCTCCACCTTCCATCTTCCTTCTCCACCATGTATCTCCATCTTCCTTCTCCACCTTTCATCTTCCTTCTCCACCATGTATCTTCCATCATCCTTCTCCACCTTCCATCTTCCTTCTCCACCATGTATCTTCCATCATCCTTCTCCACCTTCCATCTTCCATCATCCTTCTCCACCTTCCATCTTCCTTCTCCACCATGTATCTTCCATCATCCTTCTCCACCTTCCATCTTCCTTCTCCACCATGTATCTCCATCTTCCTTCTCCACCCTCCATCTTCCTTCTCCACCATGTATCTCCATCTTCCTTCTCCACCATGTATCTCCATCTTCCTTCTCCACCTTTCATCTTCCTTCTCCACCATGTATCTTCCATCTTCCTTCTCCACCTTCCATCTTCCTTCTCCACCATGTATCTCCATTTTCCTTCTCCACCTTCATTCTGTATCTCCACCTTTTATCTTCCTTCTCCATCTTCATTCTGTATGTCACGGGTTCCCCACACGCCACACCTACAACGACTAGCGAACCGAGACATGCACGTGCGCCCGTGACTTGGGGTAAGAGGGAATAAAGGGGACTTAACTTTGAATATATAAAACCGTATATAAGATCAGCCGTGATATCCTTCCACAGACTGCACTACGTTTTGGCCACCACCGGGGGGAGACTCCACTCCAATCCAGCTGGTTGACCACACACACTGGCAGATACAAATCTTATATACAATCTGGTGCACTGACTAGAGTTGAGGAGCAGCTTAGTAATTACACCCTTCTAGGATCCCTACAGCTAGAACCCCGGTGTTAATCACCCTTCCACTGTCCACACCCCCCCACACCAGACACACCCCTCCCCCACCACACCCCCACACCAGACACACCACAAATGGTAGCCTGCCACCACCCAGCAGTTTATCCGCAGAACGGTCTGCTGGGACACCCCACACACACAGATCTCCGTCTGGCCGATCTGTTACCTTTACAATCTGCATACAATCTGCCCACTCACAGTGCAATTGCATACAGATTGGCAATGAGCTGACCGAGCGTTTAAAGGCACTAAAATACAATACAATACAATCAATCTCTCCAATCTAATCTATCCAATCTAATCTCTCCAATCCAATCTCTCCGTAGATATGAGCCTGAGCTTAAATACACAGAAGTCACTAATTAATTGTAAGATTTAATTTCCCAAAAGTGGGCGGAGCATAAAATATGTACAAAATATAAAAAGTTACAGAAATACAAGAAGACACACAAATGACTAATTACTATAAAAAAAAAAGGGAATAAAACAGAATAAAACTTTACCCAGATCTATCCTGCGACTGGAGCAAGTCAGGGAGAAAACAGCAATCCGTTGGTCGATCAACAAGCTCCATACGAATTACCATGTCCCAATGTCCGGGTACTCCATTTATGGGGATATGGACGTAGGCAGCACATTAGTCCTCAGCCAATTGACCCTGGGGGGTGTTCCTGTACCTGCCCACAGGATGTTCTGGGTGTTGACCTGCCCAAGTTCAATCAGACCAAGACTGGCTTGAAAAACCAAGTCGGGGCTTTGATTTCCGACACCAGTGCATCGGTCCAATCGCGACAGTACCAAACACTGTTCTGCAATTGCAATCCAGAGCCACCTAACCATTTCCTGCATTTTCCTGGCACTCTACCTAATCCACAAATACGGTTTTTATACATCGATGTGACCCACAGAGTGCCCTATCAGAAGGAAGTATTTTCATCTCTCTGCAACTAATATTGTAGCTTTTATGAGGGAAGAAACATACTTCTTTGATGTATGTATATTCTTTTAGAGCTCATCAGACAGATCGGAGACCCCCTGGTGTCATGAAGCCAAAATGTCTCCAGCCGTTTCCTCTTTTACTTCAGGAAGGTGAAAAGTCTGATTATAGACAAATCATCTACACCTGTCCTCCTTCCATCATCTCTACCTGTCCTCCTTTCATCATCTCTACCTGTCCTCCTTCCATCATCTCCACTTGTCCTCCTTCCATCATCTCTACCTGTCCTCCTTCCATCATCTCCACTTGTCCTCCTTCCATCATCTCTACCTGTCCTCCTTCCATCATCTCTACTTGTGCTCCTTCCATCATCTCTACCTGTCCCCCTTCCATCATTTCCATTTGTCCTCCTTCCATCATCTCCACTTGTCCTCCTTCCATCATCTCCACTTGTCCTCCTTCCATCATCTCTACCTGTCCTCCTTCCATCATCTCCACTTTTCTTCCTTCTATCATCTCTACCTGTCCTCCTTCCATCATCTCCACTTTTCTTCCTTCTATCATCTCTACCTGTCCTCCTTCCATCATCTCCATTTGTCCTCCTCCATCATCTCTGTCTGTCCTCCTTCCATCATCTCCACTTTTCCTCCTTCCATCATCTCTACCTGTCCTCCTTCCATCATCTCCACTTGTCCTCCTTCCATCATCTCCACTTATCCTCCTTCCAGTATCTCCACTTGTCCTCCTTCCTTCATCTCTGCCTGTCCTCCTTCCATCATCTCTGCCTGTCCTCCTTCCATCATCTCTGCCTGTCCTCCTTCCATCATCTCCACTTTTCCTCCTTCCATCATCTCTACCTGTCCTCCTTCCATCATCTCTACCTGTCCTCCTTCCATCATCTCCACTTATCCTCCTTCCAGTATCTCCACTTGTCCTCCTTCCATCATCTCTGCCTGTCCTCCTTCCATCATCTCTGCCTGTCCTCCTTCCATCATCTCCACTTGTCCTCCTTCCATCATCTCCACTTGTCCTCCTTCCATCATCTCTGCCTGTCCTCCTTCCCTCATGTCTACCTGTCCACCCACAATCTGTCAGATTACAGGTATTTTAGGACTAAGCTAGACGCTCCTCAACCCATGTACAGACCTCATAGGCCTTAATGTTCTCTCTAGATTTCCCCATCCTCTGGAACTCACTACCCCAATCCATCAGACTGTCACCTACCCTCCTCACCTTTAGGCGCACCCTGAAAACCCATCTCTTCAGGGAAGCCTACCCCACCCTCACCTAACAGCCGATCTCCTCCACTCCTCCTACCACTTCATCCCCCACAGCCACTTCCTCCTGTACCACTATCCCCTCCCTCCTAGATTGTAAGCTCCCAGGATTAGGGCCCTCGAACCCCTCGTGTATTGTTGTGTTACTGTATTGTCTCATGTTCTGTCCCCACTATAATGTACAGTGCTGAGCAAACCTTCTATATAAATCCTGTATAATAATAATAATAAGTTAGAGAGGACTGTGGAGCGTCTCATCTCTCCTAAGGCTGATACGATTGATGCAGGTCACTAACTTGTTCACTTTGTGTCTCTGTCCGCAGTTCCGGTATCATGTCTGATCTATCTGCTAGTCTATGGGTGCTCTGTACGTTATCAGCAATAGTTCCAGGATTGACACAACAGACAACGCCACCCACCAGCCAATCAAATCCAAACAATGGCCTCAAATTCCGCCTGGCTGGGTTTCCTCGCAAACACAATGAAGGTCGGATAGAAATCTTCTATAACCAGGAATGGGGTACGATGTGTGATGATGATTTCACCATGGAGAATGCCCATATCCTCTGCCGCCATCTGGGATTTATAGAAGCTACGGGATGGACGCACAGCGCCAAGTATGGGAAAGGAATAGGTAAGATATTTTCAAAAATGAATATGATCCCCATATACTGTATGAGAAATTTTGATCCTGCCAGCAGAGGTTTAGTATTTGTATTGATCATCGGTGTAGGATAACACCCTTTCTAAGTGTGTGAAAAACCAATTCAGGGAAAAAGGCCTTCAATACCAAACAGTCACAGAGCAGGCTAACATGTTTCATCCCCTGGATGGAGTTCTCTTCTACATACAGTATAGTCTATATAGGGTGCATGAATCTCCTGTATGGTGATAACACTCCTTTATGGAGGTCTATGGTGGGTTCTGTAGGGTGTATGAATCTCCTGTATGTTGATAACACACTTTATGGAGGTCTCTGGTGGGTTCTGTGGGGTGTATGAATCTCCTGTATGTTGATAACACACTTTATGGAGGTCTCTGGTGGGTTCTGTAGGGTGTATGAATCTCCTGTATGGTGATAACACTCATTTATGGACGTCTCTGGTGGGTTCTGTAGGGTGTATGAATCTCCTGTATGGTGATAAAACTCCTTTATGGAGGTCTATGGTGGGTTCTGTGGGGTGTATGAATCTCCTGTATGGTGATAACACTCCTTTATGGAGGTCTCTGGTGGGTTCTGTAGGGTGTATGAATCTCCTGTATGTTGATAACACACTTTATGGAGGTCTCTGGTGGGTTCTGTAGGGTGTATATGAATCTCCTGTATGGTGATAACACTCCTTTATGGAGGTCTCTGGTGGGTTCTGTAGGGTGTATGAATCTCCAGTATGTTGATAACACTCCTTTATGGAGGTCTCTGGTGGGTTCTGTAGGGTGTATGAATCTCCTGTATGGTGATAACACTCCTTTATGGAGATCTCTGGTGGGTTCTGTAGGGTGTGTATGAATCTCCTGTATGGTGATAACACTCCTTTATGGAGATCTCTGGTGGGTTCTGTAGGGTGTATGAATCTCCTGTATGGTGATAACACACTTTATGGAGGTCTCTGGTGGGTTCTGTTCGTAGAGTGTATGAATCTCCTGTATGGTGATAACACTCCTTTATGGAGGTCTCTGGTGGGTTCTGTAGGGTGTATGAATCTCCTGTATGATGATAACACAACTTTATGGAGGTCTATGGTGGGTTCTGTGGGGTGTATGAATCTCCTGTATGGTGATAACACTCCTTTTTATGGAGGTCTATGGTGGGTTCTGTAGAGTGTATGAATCTCCTGTATGGTGATAACACTCCTTTTTATGGAGGTCTATGGTGGGTTCTGAAGGGTGTATGAATCTCCTGTATGGTGATAACACTCCTTTATGGAGATCTCTGGTGTGTTCTGTGGGGTGTATGAATCTCCTGTATGGTGATAACACTCCTTTATGGAGGTCTCTGGTGTGTTCTGTGGGGTGTATGAATCTCCTGTATGGTGATAACACTCCTTTATGGAGGTCTCTGGTGGGTTCTGTGGGGTGTATGAATCTCCTGTATGGTGATAACACTCCTTTATGGAGGTCTCTGGTGGGTTCTGTGGGGTGTATGAATCTCCTGTATGGTGATAACACTCCTTTATGGAGGTCTCTGGTGGGTTCTGTGGGGTGTATGAATCTCCTGTATGGTGATAACGCTCCTTTATGGAGGTCTCTGGTGGGTTCTGTGGGGTGTATGAATCTCCTGTATGGTGATAACGCTCCTTTATGGAGGTCTCTGGTGGGTTCTGTGGGGTGTATGAATCTCCTGTATGGTGATAACACTCCTTTATGGAGGTCTCTGTTGGGTTCTGTGGGGTGTATGAATCTCCTGTATGGTGATAACGCGCTCCTTTATGGAGGTCTCTGGTGGGCTCTGTGGGGTGTATGAATCTCCTGTATGGTGATAACACTCCTTTATGGAGGTCTATGGTGGGTTCTGTAGGGTGTGTATGAATCTCCTGCATGATGATAACGCTCCTTTATGGAGGTCTCTGGTGGGTTCTGTGGGGTGTATGAATCTCCTGTATGTTGATAACACTCCTTTATGGAGGTCTCTGGTGGGTTCTGTGGGGTGTATGAATCTCCTGTATGGTGATAACACTCCTTTATGGAGGTCTCTGGTGGGTTCTGTGGGGTGTATGAATCTCCTGTATGGTGATAACACTCCTTTATGGAGATCTCTGGTGTGTTCTGTAGGGTGTGTATGAATCTCCTGTATGGTGATAACACTCCTTTATGGAGGTCTCTGGTGGGTTCTGTGGGGTGTATGAATCTCCTGTATGGTGATAACACTCCTTTTTGGAGGTCTCTGGTGGGTTCTGTAGGGTGTATAAATCTCCTGTATGATAACACTCCTTTATGGAGATCTTTGGTGGGTTCTGTAGGGTGTATGAATCTCCTGTATGGTGATAACACTCCTTTATGGAGGTCTATGGCGGGGTTCTGTAGGGTGTATGAATCTCCTGTATGGTAATAAACACACTTTATGGAGGTCTCTGGTGGGTTCTGAAGGGTGTATGAATCTCCTGTATGGTGATAACACTACTTTATGGAGGTCTCTGGTGGGTTCTGTGGGGTGTATGAATCTCCTGTATGGTGATAACACTCCTTTATGGAGGTCTCTGGTGTGTTCTGTGGGGTGTGTGTGAATCTCCTGTATGGTGATAACACTCCTTTATGGAGGTCTATGGTGGGTTCTGTGGGGTGTGTGAATCTCCTGTATGGTGATGATAACACACTTTATGGAGAGGTCTATGGTGGGTTCTATGGGTGTATGAATCTCTTGTATGGTGATAAACACTCCTTTATGGAGGTTTATGGTGGGTTCTGTAGGGTGTATGAATCTCCTGTATGGTGATAACACTCCTTTATGGAGGTCTATGGTGGGTTCTGTAGGGTGTATGAATCTCCTCTCTATGTTGATAACACTCCTTTATGGAGGTCTCTGGTGGGGTTCTGTTCTGTAGGGTGTATGAATCTCCTGTATGGTGATAACACTACTTTATGGAGGTCTCTGGTGGGTTCTGTAGGGTGTATGAATCTCCTGTATGGTGATAACACACTTTATGCAGGTCTCTGGTGGGTTCTGTGGGGTGTATGAATCTCCTGTATGATAATAACACTCCTTTATGGAGGTCTCTGGTGGGTTCTGTTCGGTGTATGAATCTCCTGTATGGTGATAACACTCCTTTATGGAGGTCTCTGGTGGGTTTTGTAGGGTGTATGAATCTCCTGTATGGTGATAACACTACTTTATGGAGGTCTCTGGTGGGTTCTGTGGGGTGTATGAATCTCCTGTATGGTGATAACACACTTTATGGAGGTCTCTGGTGGGTTTCTGTGTGGTGTGTATGAATCTCCTGTATGATAATAACACTCCTTTATGGAGGTCTCTGGTGGGTTCTGTGGGGTGTATGAATCTCCTGTATGGTGATAACACTACTTTATGGAGGTCTCTGGTGGGTTCTGTGGGGTGTATGAATCTCCTGTATGGTGATAACACGCACATTATGGAGGTCTCTGGTGAGTTCTGTAGGGTGTATGAATCTCCTGTATGGTGATAACACACTTTATGGAGGTCTATGGTGGGTTCTGTAGGGTGTATGAATCTCCTGTATGGTGATAACACTCCTTTATGGAGGTCTATGGTTGGTTCTGTTGGGTGTATGAATCTCCTGTATGGTGATAACACTCCTCCTTTTTGGAGGTCTATGGCGGGGTTCTGTAGGGTGTATGAATCTCCTGTATGGTAATAACACACTTTTATGCAGATCTCTGGTGGGTTCTGTAGGGTGTATGAATCTCCTGTATGATAACACTCCTTTATGGAGGTCTCTGGTGGGTTCTGTGGGGTGTATGAATCTCCTGTATGGTGATAGCACACTTTATGGAGATCTCTGGTGGGTTCTGTAGGGTGTATGAATCTCCTGTATGGTGATAAAACTCCTTTATGGAGGTCTCTGGTGGGTTCTGTTGGGTGTATGAATCTCCTGTATGGTGATAACACTCCTTTATGGAGGTCTATGGTGGGTTCTGTGGGGTGTATGAATCTCCTGTATGGTGATAACACTCCTTTATGGAGGTCTCTGGTGGGTTCTGTTGGGTGTATGAATCTCCTGTATGGTGATAACACTCCTTTATGGAGGTCTATGGCGGGGTTCTGTAGGGTGTATGAATCTCCTGTATGGTAATAACACACTTTATGGAGGTCTATGGTGGGTTCTGAAGAGTGTATGAATCTCCTGTATGGTGATAACACTCCTTTATGGAGGTCTCTGGTGGGTTCTGTAGGGTGTATGAATCTCCTGTATGGTGATAACACTCATTTATGGAGGTCTCTGGTGGGTTCTGTAGGGTGTATAAATCTCCTGTATGGTGATAACACTCCTTTATGGAGGTCTCTGGTGGGTTCTGTAGGGTGTATGAATCTCCTGTATGGTGATAACACTCCTTTATGGAGGTCTCTGGTGGGTTCTGTAGGGTGTATGAATCTCCTGTATGGTGATAACACTCCTTTATGGAGGTCTATGTCGGGGTTCTGTAGGGTGTATGAATCTCCTGTATGGTGATAAAACTCCTTTATGGAGGTCTATGGCGGGGTTCTGTAGGGTGTATGAATCTCCTGTATGGTGATAACACTCCTTTATGGAGGTCTATGGCGGGGTTCTGTAGGGTGTATTTGAATCTCCTGTATGGTGATAACACTCCTTTATGGAGGTCTCTGGTGGGTTCTGTGGGGTGTTATGAATCTCCTGTATGGTGATAACACACTACTTTATGGAGGTCTCTGGTGGCTTCTGTGGGGTGTATGAATCTCCTGTATGGTAATAACACACTTTATGGAAGTCTCTGGTGGGTTCTGTTCGGTGTATGAATCTCCTGTATGGTGATAACACACTTTATGGAGGTCTATGGTGGGTTTCTGTGGGGTGTATGAATCTCCTGTGTGGTGATAACACTCCTTTATGGAGGTCTCTGGTGGGTTCTGTGGGGTGTATGAATCTCCTGTATGGTGATAACACACTTTATGGAGGTCTATGGTGGGTTCTGTAGGGTGTATGA